GACTCATACATACATGATGTGAGAATGATAGTTTTGAGGAGAATAGTGAAAACACCTCTAAGCCCACTATAACAAAATCAGATTTATAGGACGTCAAAAATTTTTAAGTGTTTTAATATATCATTTTATAGGACTTAATTTATATGACAAAAAAAATAAAGTGTTATATCTAAAGGCATTGTAAAAGTTTATAGAACACTTTTGAGCATTTTAACAAGTTTTCCGTTAGCAACTTTATAAGACACTATTTGAAAATATGTCCTATAAAAAAATGGTTTTATAAAAGTGTCTTATAAAATTGTTGATCTAATGCTTGGATTAAAAACGTCCTAAAAACTTTGTTAAGATGCCTAAAAGTGTCATATAAACTTATTACAATGTATTTAGATAATACGCTTTAATTTTTGGTTCTATAAATTAAGACGCGTAGAAATTAAATGGTGTTCTATTGATCCAATTTTGTTGTAATAGCCTTTGTATGAGTTAATACTTTACCAAAATGGAATGTAACGATTGTAGGTACGACGATTTACTTCACGGACAATGTCTCTGGTTTAAGTCCAGAATGATGCTTAAAATGAAATCCGTTCTAAGTTCACTATTAGACACCGGAATTCTGAAACCCAATGATGTTAAATTTGTAATTTACTCTTGATATTATAATATAAAAAAATGCAAGCTTAATAGTTTTTTCATTAAATAAATGATTATAAGTTATAAAAATACGACTTTTTACGTTTTTAAAAACATAAAAGTTACCAAACATCAACCCAAAAATTGAAGTGGTTTCATACAAATATGAAGTAACAGCAAAAAAAATCCATCATTTTCTTTCGTTCTTGGAGTAAAATCTCAGAACGACGTAGAACAAGACACGATACAAAACCCCCCAAAGCAACAAGATCCCGATATCATACCATACGTTTTCCCATTTTATATCCATCGATGTCAACACATCTTCTCCGATCAACAAACAGTCGACGCCTTGCTTCGTGAGCTCATGCTTATGCAAATTGCTGATTTTCACTTCTCCGAGAGGTCCCGGCGATAACTCCGAGAAGTCTCCGGTGTAACAACGGGTGCCTTTGAACTCGTTTACCAACATCGCCTCAAAAGGGTATTTGATCGCCGATATGTAATGTAACCAGATCCAGTACGGGGGGATGTGTGATGCTTTCAAGAAGAAACCACACGTCAAGAAAAACAGCGCCGTTGTGGCTATGACCACCGCGTAGCCGGTGATGTAACTCGGGACCAACGCGCTGACGAGCATGACGTAAGCATTTGTTGTGATGAGCGACGAGTAAAGGATGATCCAGAAGTTGAATAGGTTGCTGTTTAGTTTGAGAATGAACAGAGTTATGGCGGCGAATGTAAAAGCTTGGATTGCGAAAAACGGGAGGTAGACGAGGAGCGATGATATGACGTAAGAGGAGGCTCGGTAGGCGTTGTGGGAGGTCTCACGGATGAATATGAATCGTTCTTGGATGAAGGTCGGAACGGCGTCGTTGGAGGAGAAGAAAACCAGACAAACGGAGAAGATATAGAAGTTCAGAAGACGGTTGATCGTTTTGAAGTCGTAGTGGCTTAGATTCTCGAAAAGAGAAGCTAGAATTAGACCCATAACGGCTAGCACGATTTCTCGAGAAAGGAACAGTTCGGGGGTTCGAACCACATTTAGTGCGGTTCGCCATGAAAGAACCATAACTTCACGTAGCCATGGGTTTGCGAACTTTGGTCCAAGGTCAGGTTCATCCAGGACTTCTGGTTCCAACGCATTTTCGTATGATACATATGAATCTGACGCCGGACTGAACACCGGTGTCTTGATCCGGTGGCGGTTCAGGCTTGTAGACATTGGTGTCATTCCCGCCGGAGTTTGTCCAGGGGTACTACCCCTCGCCGGAGTCCATGATGGTGCACGATGTGGAGTACCCTTTACACCATGGTATATCCATACCGATAAATCTTTGTAGAATTGCGAAGCTAAACGTGGATTATAAGCTCCGCTTTGCATGTTCATCGGGGTATTCGCCATTTTACGCTCCCGGGAATTGTCGAACTCGTCTTCGGATTCACCCTCGTGGTAGTCGAACGTGGTGGAATTGGCTCGAGGGGTGGTGCTGGTGCTTGAAAACTGAAGGCTGCGAAGGGCGATATGCTTTTGGCTATGTGGAGTTTTGCCGTATGGAGTTCTTGGTGTTTTTGGAATAGGAGTCTGAGCGACTTGATCGGGTTTGAGCCCATCGCGTTGGTACATCACGAGAGGGTCGAGCCCGATGGTGGATTCGTCGTATTCCTTGATAACATCCAAGAGGTACTCGATGTTATTCTCGTTATCTGGCACGGGGCGTTCGAATCCTGCAAGATGCGCGGATAGCGCGTTCGGGCTCCCTAGATATATCAACTTTCCTCTGTCACAACGAACCATTTTCGTAACTTTAGTGATCATATACGATATAACTAAAACATTACAACAAAATCGACTTAATAGACTGATTTATAGGACCAAATATATCTTACCTCGCTAGAACTGTGATGCGGTCAAGAAGCATTTGTATCCGAAACGAAGGTTGGTGGATCGTCATAAGGACAATGCTCCCGCTACGAGCAATGTCCTTAACCTTCTCAACAACGCTAAATGCACTAGTCGAGTCGAGCCCGGATGTCGGTTCATCCAGAAACAAAAGCGACGGCTTGTGGATAATGTCGATCCCGATTGACACCCGCCGCCTCTCACCACCGGAGACGCCTCGCCTCCCTTCGTCACCAATATACGTATGTGCCGTACTCTGCATCCATTAATTAAACACATATTTGTTTACATACAAACCATAGAAGTATATTACGGGGTAGATTTTTCTATTTTTTCATGCAAAGGGGGTAGAGAGATTCATACTGTCAAGCCTAACTGGTCGAGCAGCTCGACCACCCGTTTTTTTTTCTCCGACCGGGATAACGACGGTGGAAGGCGGACTTCCGCCGCAAACATGAACGTCTCAAAAACCGTCAACATAGCAAAGAGTTGATCGTCTTGCATAACATAGGACGATATCATCTTCATGTAGCTAGCTGATACCTGCAATTAAATAATTGAACCACGATCAGAAACAAAACGTACAATTGATACAAGATTCTGTTCAAATTAAGCTACTTACCGGCTTCCCGTCGATCCGTACAGAACCTTCAAGACTACCTTGAGCAATCCGGCCGGCCAAGGCATCAAGAAAAGTGGATTTTCCGGCACCACTTGGACCCATGATGGCCATAATCTCACCTCGCATGGCTTGACCAGAAATCTGATTCAAAAGAAAGGTTTCTTTGGTGATCCAAACTCCATCTTTCTTCTGTTTCTTCATGACACTATACGACAAGTCGTTGAACTCCAGGCCGTGGCCGGGTTCTAGTTTCTGGTTTGGCAACTGACCACCCATCTTCTTGCTGGATTTGTCCAAATCCAGCAGCGTTTCTAAACTCCGGTTGGTGTCGGTTCGAGCAAACCTTGTAGCCATCGGAATGGCCGGTTGTGTTTGGATGGTTGTTTAAAGGTCTGAGGTTGATCAGTTATGGAGGTTGATAGATTTATATGTAGAGGAGAATGGATGGTGGAGGTGAAAACAAAATAGATTTGGAGGGTTTCTTGGGGAGGGCGGCAATGCTAAGATACAATTCATTGATGATGTCGCAAGAGATCGCTCGATTCCAAAACCATGAAACCTATACATGTAATGCTTATAAAATAAACCCAAAATTCAAAAAAAAACCAACAAAGCTTTCGTATTAAAATAATGATTTAATACTTAAACTACTATTTTGAACGATTAAAACCTTAAATTTATGAAGTTTGTATACTAACAATAAAAGTTGGGTATTTGAGGATATCCCTCAAGGCTCCAGAGGTCATTGATTTGAATCTTACAAGACTATTGGGACTTCGGAGTGCAGTATTCCAAGATCCCTTAGATTAGTTGAGGTATATAGAAGTTGGCCAGACATCCACGATACTTTTTGGCAAGAAATAATATTATCATTTATGCTTAAATGGATTATAAAAAAAAAATATGGACATTATACATTTTTGAGAAAAGTCCGTCTGGGCCTAGGCCTGGGCCTGGTTAGGATTAGATTGGGCTTACAAGGACCTTTTGTCCTGCTTTATTACTGTTTTCAGGCTTAAGCCCAATCATGGGTCCGTCTGAAAAGATATCAGTTTTGCTCGAACCGATGACCGGTCTATGAAAGTCACCTTATTTTCAGTTTTGCTCGAACCGATGACCGGTCTATGAAAGTCACCTTATTTTGCCTCAATTTGTATACATATCTATAGTAAATTATAAATCATTTCATAAAAACTTTTAAAAATCATTTTTATGCATAAAATATTGTTTATTGACGCATATTAGTTAAAATTTAAAATTATAGGTAAATTGTGCATAAGTACAATTTATTAAAGATTCATATTTGAATTCGTGTAACTAACCGCAGATATACATAATCAAATATTGGATAAACATCTCATTTTAAATATAAAAAATGTAAAATATAATTGATATAATCATTGATTTATAACAAAATATTTTAGTTATTATCTTTATAAAAAATTATCTATACTATATTATAAAGCATTTGACAAAAACTCTTAAAAACTATTTTTTATGCGTAAAGTACTGTTTATTAATGCATATTACTTAAAACTCAATATTACAAGTAGATTATGTGTAAGTACAACTTATTAAAGCTTCATATCTGAATTCGTGTAACTAACTGCAGATAAACATAAT